ATGCATAGGGGCACTTGTACCCCAATGTTCATAGCAGCACTCTCAACAATAGCCAAATTATGGAAAGAGCCTAAATGTCCATCAACGGATGAATGGATAAAGAAATTGTGGTTTATATACACTATGGAATACTACGTGGCAATGAGAAAAAATGAAATATGGCCTTTTGTAGCAACGTGGATGGAACTGGAGAGTGTGATGCTAAGTGAAATAAGCCATACAGAGAAAGACAGATACCATATGGTTTCACTCTTATGTGGATCCTGAGAAACTTAACAGGAACCCATGGGGGAGGGGAAGGAAAAAAAAAAAAAAGAGGTTAGAGTGGGAGAGAGCCAAAGCATAAGAGACTGTTGAGAACTGAGAGCAAACTGAGGGTTGATGGGGGGTGGGAGGGAGGAGAGGGTGGGTGATGGGTATTGAGGAGGGCACCTTTTGGGATGAGCACTGGGTGTTGTATGGAAACCAATTTGACAATAAATTTCATATATAAATAAAAAATAAATAAATAAATAAATAAATAAATAAATAAATAAAATAAAGTCTAGCTTGTCTATTTAAGTGTGGCTACTCTGGCTTTCTTTTGACATCCATTTGCATAATAAATGTTTCTCTGTCCCCTCGCTTTCAATCTGCAGGTGTCTTTAGGCCTAAAATGAGTCTCTTGTAGGCAGCATATAGAGAGGTTTGGGGTTTTTTTAAATCCATTCTTATAGTCTATGTCTTTTGGAACATTTAGTCCAATTATATTCAGAGTGATTATTGATAGATATGAATTTAATGCCATTGTATTACTTGTTTTGTCATTGTTTCTGGAGATTTTCTCTGTTCCTTTCCAGTTTTTGTCACTTTTGGACTTTCCTTCTCCCTCAGAGTCCTCTTTAGTATTTCTTGCAGGGCTGATTTAGTGTCATGAACTCCTTTAGTTTTTGTTTGTCTGGGAAACTCTTTAACTCTCCTTCTATAATGATGATAGCATTGAGGGATAAAGTATTCTTGGCTGCATATTTTTTTCCATTCAGCATGTTCAATATTTCATGCCCCTCCCTTCTGGCTTGTCAAATTTCTGTGGAGAGATCTGCAGCTAGCTGTATGGTTCTTCCCTTGTAAGTTAGGGACTTCTTTTGCCTTGCTGCTTTTAGGATTTTTTTCTTTATCACTATATTTTACAAATTTAACTACAATGTGTCTTGGTATTGGTCTGCTTTTTTTTAACTTTGATGGGAATTTTATGTGCCTCCTGGATTTGGATGTCTATTTCTTTCCCCAGGTTAAGGAAGTTTTTAGCCATTATTTCCTCAAATAAACCTTTTTCTCCCTTTTCCTTCTCTTCTTCTTCTGGGACTCCTATTATAAGAATGTTATTAGGTCTGATGCAGCCACTGATTTCCTAACTGTACTCTCGTGATCCATAATTTTTCCTTCTCTGTTTTGTTTAGCTTCATTATTGTCCATAATTCTATCTTCTTTATCACTTATTTGTTCCTCTGCTGCTTCTATCCTTGTGGTCATTACATCCAGTCGGTTTTGAATCTCAGTTATTCTACCTGATTGTTTTTTAGCTCTTTTACCTCTGGGTGTAAGGGTCTCCCTGATGTCTTCCATGCTTTTCTCAAGCCCAGTGAGTATCCTTATGATTATTGCTTTAAATTCTCCAGCAGGCAAATTACTTATATCTGTTTTGATTATATTTCTCACCACGAACTTTTCTTTTCTTTCTTTTTGAGTGAATTCCTCCATCTTGGCATTTTGTCTAGATCTCTGTCTTCTTCTGTGTATTAGGAAAGCCTGTTATGTTTCCTGTTCCTGAGAGTAATGTTTTCATGAAGAGGTCACTTACTGTCCAGGGCATATCACTTCAGTGAGTGTCTCTGGTGTGTGCTGTGTGTACTCTGCTGCTGTGTTTTGGTTGCTCTACCCCTCAGGTGAGTCATCTGTAGAGGTTCTCCTTGCTTACAGTGGGCAGTATTTGGACCTTGGCCAGAGTGTAGTGAGTTTGAACAGACGTGCTCTGGTCTGTTTGTTAAGTGAGACCTGATACTAATTCCACTAGAACTGAAGCCTTGCAGAATGCTATGGTCAATAGACATGGTGCATGCAGAGGTTTCTGCTGGTTTTCTGGGGAAGGGGCCTGCTGCCCTCATGCATAGGCACACTTGTCCAAGAAAAGCAGTACCAGCAGAACTCAGGGGGGTGGGGCTCAGTGTAAGCAGGTTAAGCAGCCTGTGTTGGCACTGTGATGTTTACTGAAGTTAGTTTATCCTGAGTTGTGGGGGAGGCAAATGACACCAGAAACTTCCTTTTTTCCCAGAGACAGGACTCACTGCTTACTGTTCTCAAGTAAGCACTCCCAAAAGAGTAAATAATTTCTCCTCACACATCCCAGGCATTTTTCAGATCACTGTTTTCACGCTGTCTTGGGTTGTCTGCCTGCCTGGAGCAGCACAGTGCACTTCAGGCTCTATCCTAGCCATACCTGCTGACTTTTTAAAAGTCCAAACTTTAGGGACCTGGTGTGGGGGGGGGGGGGCCCGGTACTGGTCTTCTGTCTTCTGGGGGAGGGTCTCAATGCACTGGGACTGATGGAGGTTTGACTGAGAAGGGCACTCATGCCAGAGCATAGGACCATGGGATCTGGAGTAAAGCAAGATAAACAGCATCTGATTTAGCCACACTCAGCAGGTATCTCTGAGCCCATGCTGGGGGGCAGGGAGGGAAATTGTGCCCACTGGATCTTTTGTCCCTGAGAGGCAACTCTGTGAACATGATCTCCTACAGATGTGCTCCAAGAAGATCAGTCTCTCCTCATTCACCTTAGCATTCCTCAGATTGTGCCATCTTCCCATGGGTTGTTTGCCTGCCTTCACTTCAGGAGTAGGGCAGTGCCCTCAGGGCTCTATCCCAGCCAGGCCTGCAGACCACTAAAACTCCAGTCTTTGAGCTCCACTTGTTGCAAAAACTCACAAAATCAGACCCTCTCCTTTTCCCAGCTAGTGGCTTTTGGAAAGTGTTCTTGTGCATTCCACTGTGTGCCTGCCCCCCCCCCCCACTTTCTCTATCTCTCTCTCTCTCTCCCTCTCTCTCCCTCTCACCTTTCTCTACAACAAGGGCTCCCTCCCCTCTGAAGCACCTGCAATCCATTTCTCCCCCAAACCATGTCTCCTCACTTCCTACCTTCCTCAATGTGTCCTCTCCTCTACCTCTGGTTGTGAAGTTTGTTCTGTCAGTCCTCAGGTTGATTTCATGGGTATTCAGAATGATTTGATGGTTATCTAGCTGTGTTCAAGGGATGAAGCAAGCCTCTGTCCTCCTACTATGCTGCCATCTTAGCTCCCCTCATTCTTTTTTTATGGCTGAATGATATCCCATTGTATATATCTACCACATTTTCTCTACCCATTCATCCAGTGGACACTTAGGTTTTTCTGTATCTTGACTATTGTGAATAATGCTGCAATGAACATGTGAGTGCCTATGTCTTTTCAAGCCTGTGTTTTCATTTTGGATAAATACCCAGAAGTGAAATTGCTGTATCATACAGCAATTCTACTTTAAATTTTCCATTGTGGCTGTACCAATTTACATTTCCATCAACAGTGCACAAGCGCTCCCTTTTCTCCACATCTTTGCCAACACTTGTTATTTCTTATCTTTTTGATCATTGCCATTCTAACAGATGTGAGGTGATCTCTCATTGTCTGATGATTACTGACATAGAGCATATTTTCATGTGTCTGTTTTCTATCTGTATGTCTTTGGAAAAATGGCTATTCAGATCTTCTGCCCATTTCCTAATCAGTTGTTATTTTGCTATTGAGTTGTATGAGTTACTTACATATTGTAGACATTAACTCCTTGTCAAATATATGATTTGCAAATATTTACTCCCATTCTGTACGTTGCCTTTTCATTCTGTTGATGGATTCCTTTGCTGTGCAGGTTTTTAGCATGATGTAGTCCCACTTGTTTATTTTCACTTTTGTTGCTTTTGTGTTTAGTGTAAGATTCGAAACATCATCACCAAGATCTATGTAAAGGAGCTTACTGCCTATGTTTTTTTCTAGGAGTTTTATGGTTTCAGATCTTGTGCTCAAATCTTTAATCCATTTTGATTTAATTTCTATGTAAGGTGTACGATAATGATTCAGTTTCATTCTTTTGCATGTGGCTGTCCAATTTTTCCAGTACCATTTTATAAACCATCCTTTCACCAAAATATTTTCTTGGCTCCTTTATCTTAAATCCTACTTGGTCATGGTAAATGATCCTTTTAACATATTGCTGAATTCAGCTTCCTAATATTTTCTTGAGGATTTTTGCA